AGGAATTCATATCTTAAGTATAACATACATAACATATTTTATGCAATTTTATTATTTTATTAAAACTATAATTTAATTTACAGAATTTCCATAAAATATTCAAGCTACTATTGTATTGTTCTCTTTGATTGTCAAAATAATTAGAAATAGTTAAAAATTTTATTTTTTATTTAATTTATATTATCACAATGTTTAACAATTGTAAATGTATAAAATATAAAATAATATATGTATAAACCATTACATACTCATAATAGCATGTTGTAAATATCATAACTGCTAACAATAATACGTCGTTTCATCTATATATTAGGTATATAATATAACAAATAAAATTCTCTAAAAAAAGAAATTTTAAATACTTATTTATCGGTTTTTTTTTCATATAAGCCAATCAATTACAAATGCCTAGATTTTTGCATTTGTTACGAAAAGAAAGAATGAAGAATATTAAAAACGCTTGTTCGACATATCGGATCAAAATGTGAATCTTGCAAACGATGAGACGCATATGAATTTAAAATTGATTAAAAATCACGACACGTGGAAATATGAATATAAAAAAGTGATTGAGGTGGAACTTTTAAAACTTTCTATGATCATATGAATATGTGGGTGAAATGGCCCAACGTCGACATTTCTGCAAAATATGGAACTAGATCACATTGGAAAGAGGCAAATGCTCTGGAGTTTACTAAAATTGGATGAGAAAAGTCAAACAGACTATGGAAATAAAACAGAGCATAAGAGATAAAGTGCTACTAAAAAAAGAAGTATTCCAAAGTATATGAGAAGAAATGTACGTCAAACAAAATAAATCTCTCGCCCAAATTATTGTCACTGTCAGAGTATTTTGTCGAAAACACACATTTTATCCAGTAAATTCCTATATGTATTATATATTAATAATTACAATTTATTTTAATGTATAGTTCTAAATTTTATTTTATGTTAAACTTTATTTTATATTTAAAATACATATTATTTTTTATATATCTTATATATTTGATACATTTAGTATAATAAAACATTTTTTAACAACTTTATACCAATAAATTACTTGCATCTTAAGATATTTATTCTATAATGTAAAGAACAAAGTTATAGAATTAAACTTATATTAAGGAATATAATTAATGAAACATTGCTGCATTAAGTATTTTAAAAAATGTGAGATAATTTTCATTTACATTAAAGAGCAAATACATTACTATCTTGTTTATTATCGAATAATATAACATAATCGGCTCACAATAAGACTGTTAGGCTAATTCTACAATGTGCTCTTTGTTTTCTGTTTCTTGCTGTTTGTCTCTATTTGTCTCTTGCCTTTTTGGTCAATAAGACAAGAGAGAAACAGCAAGAAACAGAAAACAAAAAGCACATTGTAGAATTAGGCTTAATATATAATCAGGAATTTAAACATATATTACGATTACAGCAGTCTTCAGCCATCGATTAATTTATTAATAATAATTAATAAATATTAATAGCATCATGGTTATGCTATTAAATATGTTGAAAATTTTAAAGCAATGACATTTACATTAACAAAGTATTGTGCCAAAAATAATGAAAAAAAATTAGATTCTCCTAACTTGCATAATGATTTTTTATAATCAACCGCACTCCATTAACGATTCCAGCAACAAATGGATTTTCCTCTGGTTCCACCGAATTAAATAAATTACAGCATTGTTTCCGCTTTCACAGCGTGACTAAGTAATGACAACCTGAACTAAGAAGCAGTTTAAAGAAAGCAGAATTCCGATCACGTACTTAATTCTAATAACTATCAGCAACAAACATAAAACAAATTATAAGCTATCGTCTAAATGAGCATAGACTGAAATTTCCTTTATTATGATTGCAAATATTATTTGTTTTTTCCAGCTACATAAATTTCCTTTTTTTTTTAATCTTTCTTGATAATTTTAAATTATTAAATATTTTCGAAACATTTTTATAAAAACATATAAAATATGCAAAAAATATACTTTTTTATACGTTTAAGTGTGAAGTAAATATTAAGACTACATATGCATAACTTATTTTTTTAAAGTCAAGCTACGATAATTTTTATTTTTTAGTAAAATTTCTCTATTCTTATAAAAATTAGATGTCGGTTTAAAAAAATATAATATTAAAACAAAATACATTAAATTTATATTCATTATTTACAACTTTTTATAATTAATTAATTTTTTATTTTATTGTAATAATCTTTTTGTAATTAAACTAATTATCTTTCTATGTTTATTTTATACATAGGTATATATGTAATGAATATAAAAAAAATGAATACAAAAATATGTATAATGAATATAAAAATATCCTAATATTATGAAAATTTTGTATGAATATATATGTCATTTTACTTGCGATGAATTTAAATCATCTATCTCAAGTATAAGGTAAAATTTTAATTAATCATGAATAATATGCACGTTTCAGAGAGGTATGCCTGATACCATTATCCATGTATTACACACGTCATCGTCATTCGATTCTCATACTAAAAGCGATTTTCACGCACAAAAGAATTTAACGACTTCGTGAAAATCAAAGCTCGCATTATCCCATGGGAAACTCGTATCTGCGAGAAACAGTATCTGTGTGAAACTCCAGGTATGTTGCATTGAGGAAACAGTTTAAATGGTACTGGGTCGATCGATAAACATTTGATAAAGATACTCCCACTTAGAATGATTGTAAATTTCCGACCAGCCATAAATAATCGCTAGTACCTCGAAAGAATAGTTTATAACGTATAAAAACTGGGCGGGTACTATCGCGAAGTATGGAAGTCGGATAAGACAAATGGACCAACGAGATCTCGCGCGATCGTTATCGATCCTGTAAGATGAAATAAAACGGATTGTGGTGAGAGATTCTGAGTCCATCCTTATCTCAGATAATAAAATATTTCGAGAACCGGGGTTATGCATTGCGTCAAGACAAAACATGTTATCTTTATAAAAAAAATAACAATTCTAAGTGAAATTTATTTTGTTTTAATATTATTTTTTATTTATATTACTAATTTCTCTCTCAAATTCATTTGTTTTACTTTATTATTTTATAAAATGTAAAGTAAGAAATTTTATAATATTTATAAAAATAATGATAATTAATGGAATTATGTAAAGTATAGTAATGCAGTGCGACTTATATGTTTATAGAAAAATCAGAATTATTTTATTAAAAATTTAAATAAAATAAAAATTATATATTTAATTTAATGTATTTCCTTATACGCAATCATTATCATTAAAAAGATAAAGACAAATATTGCTAATGTTTTTAAGAAAAATATTAGTTTTAATATTCCAACATGTTGAGAGCAAAAACATTTACCCTTTCAACAAAAAAGAATTGATTTCTAAGCATTATAGATATATTATTTTAGTTTTTTAAAAATATTATACATATATATTATACATATATATTTGAAAAAATTGGAAACTGTTAATATCTTAGTTCTATATACACACGTGTTTATTTAAAAAAAGATATTTTATATTCATTGCTTCGATTAAAACTCACTGTATTAATATAATCGCGAATAAAATTATTTCAAATGGTTTCAATTACAATCTATATGCGATTCGTCTAAATGATCGATTATTCTCAGATTTTATTACAGTAGCTTACACACAGATAAAGTAAAAATGTGCACAGTTGAGAGAATGTAGTGTAGCAACGAAAACAAATATGTTCACAAATTGCCGTACATAAGTACAAGAACATTCACGAATTTAATAGTCCAGATATAATAACATTTTTTAAATATGTAAATGAATAATTTCTGTAAATGAATAATTTAATGTAAAAGTATAATAGTGCGATTTTTCTGTTTAGTTATTGTTTAGTAAAGAAAGACAAAATTTAATTACTCAGAAAAAATTCACCGCAATTTTTTGTTTAAGAGGCAATAAAATGGATGTAAAAATTTTTGCAACAATAATTTTAATAAATATATTTTCAAGAATTTTACTTTAATTTCAAAAATACGGAAATATAACAGAAAAGTGACAAAAATATTGCTTATAATCCGTCTTCCATTGTAAATATACTTTAATTACTTTATTTATAAATGCAAATATGTGGTGACATTAACTGATAATATTTCGACTATAAATACATTAATCTTATTTGATTAAGTATTTAATCAAATTAGTATTTAAATCAGTAAGTGATTATTTTTCTTAGATCATTATTTTACTGAAGTAGTAATTACTGAAAAATTTTTCTTTTTTATCTTGCGTATTTTTAAAAACATTGTTAAAAATTTATAAATATAAAAATATTGAACAATGTAAATATTTATTTATTCACTATTATACAACACATTTGCCAAATGTTTCAATATTGTGAACTTTTAAAAGATTTAAAACCACTTTTTAACAAAAAAAAAGATAAAGATCTATAATTGTTTCAGTAAAATTCGTTCTAATGTTTGATCTCTTTTTTAGATATGGGTCGCTGTAATCGATTTTATAACTGTGTCTATATGCTTATGCACATAGATTTTGCGTATATGTGCAAAATTATTACATTCAGAATAAATGTATTTGTTGGAGAAAACATAAAACAGAACAATAAATTTTTTCAAAGCTTTTTTACGTTAATTCACACAAAACCATTTTTTAAATCAAACTCTATATTATTCTATAATAATAAATTGATAATATTGAAATATTCTACCATTTTTCATTTCTATGTTAAATATATTTAAAACGTAATGTAACTATCTAATTTCAAAATATAACGATAATTTATTTCAAATTAATATTTAAAATAATATAATGTAAGATATAAGACTTTAAAGAATAAAGTATCATGTTATTTGATCATAGTTATTTAATTCGTGATTGTGTTGTAAAAAAGTTGTAAA